TTTTTTTAAAATGTAATTTCTAGCTTTGTCCATTGACATCCTATTTTGGGACACATTGTTGTACCGGATGGTCTCTAAATATCAACCCCACTAAAATGAACAAGGGCTCCCTGGAGAAATGGCTGGTTCCAACACAGGCCAGAGAATTTACAAGGCGAGCCTAGCGCATACTGCAATAGAAAGCAAGGAAACACTCAAAATCAGCATGGAGTGGGGAGTGTCAAAAGGATGCAGGAACCCCCAACTTTATGGGGTTCCCACTGGTCAAACTTTGTGCAGCACAAAGTATTAGGACTATAATATATTGTAAAACACAATAAATGAAAATCTATGAGCCAAATGATATTAAAAAGAATTTATTTCCCACCGTAATTGAAGGTGATTATGGAACCAAGTTCTTACTCTAAAAACTGACAATTAAAGAGAAAGAATTAAGCCTTTATCCTCATTTTAGGATGAACTAAAATTCATCCCCAATTAATGAGAAAAAACCCTTCCTTCCAGAACAATACCAACTATTAAATGCAAAAGGAATTGAAAAATGACCATTTTATAATCCTTAACAAAATAATTCATTCAGGCAAGGAATATCAACCTGTGCTAAAACCATTATGTAAAAGGTTGTTGGGGAACAGGATATTTGCACAGTGCCAAAGTATTATCCCACAGATTACCTGCTAACTGCAAAAGGGAAAACACATCTTTACACTGGAAAGATCTGGTGGTCACTATCTCAACCAATTGACCAAACTTAGCTTCACTAGCTTTGGTGCAATCTGATAGCTTGGCTAACTGAAGTGAGACCTACAATTGGAGGGGACAAAAGTAAGACTTGTCTGAGCATATCCTTATAAATAGTTTTAAGTTTTGAGTCAGGTATATGTTTTACATATTCAAAAAATAAAATTAAGTCATAAAAAAAAAAAGAATCCCTAAAATTAAAAACAAATGGTAACAAATGTCACTGAAACACAGTATCACTTATGAAATACTCTTCCTAAAAACTTTTAGCCTGAATCTAGTCAAACCTTTATTACTTCTAATTTATAGGAAATACGGGGGATAGAAAACACACTGAACAACACTGAAAGGAAACAAACAAATTAGGTACCTGGTCTTGCCTCTTCAAAAAGTCAACGACATAGGAAGGAAAAATAGCAGAGGAATTTCTTTAGACTAAAGACACTAAAGAGATATAATAACTAAGTACAACTGGATCCTAGTTTGAAAAATACAACAGCTATAAAATATATTTTTAGACAATTAGGGACACTTAAATACGGACTGGATATTGGATGCTATTAAGGAATTGTTCATTTTTCTT